TGTGTGTGTGTGTGTGTGCGTGTGGGTGTAAGTGTAAGTGTACGCGTGTCTATGTTTTTTGGAACATTACTTTGTTTTAGATGGAGCAGCGTAGATTAGTATGAAAGCATAACATTATTTTAAATTTTATTACTCACATGATTATTCTATATTATAATGTATACATAGATACGTTTGTTTGATTTTTCATTCAAATATTGATTTACATATTTATTTAGTTTTTTTACATTCCAAAGTAACTGTAACTAGCGTCTGTGGTGGGGGCGTTTAGACTCTTTACTGTCGCACCTAAAGGCCTGAGTTCATTCTTGGGAGAGGATATTGTGTATGCAATATCTCTGCAGGGACTTGAAAACCCTCTTAGCCTGGTTTCACCCTGATAGGCATTGTCTTTTAGTTTTAGTAAACGTTTTACGGTACTTACAACACTATAAGGTCAAATACGTGGCCACAATTAAAGGTGCTACAAGAGAGCAGCAAACACAAAAAAGAAGGGAGGAGAGCTGACAAGGACGATGGATGTTTGACAGAAAAGAAGGAGCAAACCACACCAGAGCACCCGCCAACCACCCACAGGTAGGTTCTAGGCCCGCTTCCTAAATGGTGTGATTGTGTTGATGGATGGTGGCGTAAAAGTAATGGCATTTTTATTGAGATACAACGTGGGTGGTTGGCGGGTGCTCTGGTGTGGTTTGCTTCTTATTTCCTACCAAACATCTATCGTCCTTATCTCCTCTTCTTCTTTTTTTATGTTTGTAACTCTCTTGTAACGCCTCTAATCTTCTGGCGCTCATTTGATCTTATGCAGTTGAGAGCGCCATAAAACCTCTAGTAAAACTAAACTAAAATAAGATACAACCCCAAACAAATAGATGAAAATAACAGATATGAAAGAAGAAAAATAAACACAATAACCCCTCCCCCCGCCCTTCCAAAGCAGAAGAAAATATACTTTTTAACAAAGTGATATGATAATCTTCATTAGAATACTCAAAAGTTTGCTAATTCTGTTGTCAAAGGTTGTCAAGAAAATCAACAACAACAACAACTAATAAACAAACAAACAAACAAACAAACAAACAAACAAACAAACAAACAAAACAAAAACAAAAAACAACCCACCGACCCACCTCCCCCTCCCCCCAAAAAAATAAAAATAAAACGAAAGTAAAATTAAATCCAAAAACCTTTTTCAAGTAAATGAAAATAAAATTTCATCGGATGTTCTTCATCAACATACTACTACTACTACTACTACTACTAGATTACACTACTCACAAGTTGTTTATTTTCCGTTGTCTAAAGTTTTCCTTCAGTTGGGAACACACGGACAAGCGCAGTTCATCGGGGCCGAACTACTTTTGATGACGTAACATAGTGATGTCGCAGACCTTGTCCTATCCTTCCGCGGGTCTGACGGAGACTCGAACTGCTGTGGCGTTGTCGCCGTGGTTTTAAGCGCGCGTGCGATGAGAGTGAGTGAGGGAGAGAGAGTGAGTGAGTGAGAGTGTGTGTGTGTGTGTGTGAAGGAGTGAGGGAGAGCTTGTGTGTGTGTGTGTGTGTGTGTGTGTGTGTGTGTGTGTGTGT